CTTCTTCTTCTTCTTCTTCTTCTTCTTCTTCTTCTTCTTCTTATTATTATTATTATTATTATTATTATTATTATTATTATTATTATTATTACTATTATAGGGTTTGTTGCACAATCAGCCAGATGTTTGGACTGGATTTGGCATTTTTTATCCACCTATCTTATTATTATTTAAATGTATTACCTCCCAACTCCAATGGACTCTGGGCATCAATCTAATTAAATTAAACTAAAATAAATTAAATTAATTAAAAATGTGTACCTTCTGTCTGGCGTTTTTCACTTTTTTCCAGCACTGATAATTCCATATACTTTTCGCTTTGGATGGTAAAAATAGAATAAGGTGAAAGTTAATAAATTGTTCAGCAAACTTCACCAATGGATGCACTTGTGAATAGCAAGAAAAGAGACATTACACAATAATCCCCTCGAAACCTCAATGGTTTTTCAGGTTCCAGAGAGTACACTGTCAAACTGGAAAAAGCAATGTATCTCAAACTTGGCAACTTTAAGAGGGGTGGCCTTCAACTCCCAGAATTCCCTAGCTAGGTCCACCCCTCTTAAAGTTGCCAAGATTGAAAAATGCTGCTTTAAGCTTTTAGTTTTTATCATCTTTAAATGTTTCTATCAGTTGGTTTTACTGAAGCCTTTAGAACTGCTCTCTCCGAAAAACAGGCAACATGTTATTTGCCTATTCATCAATGTAGTCATACATAGCATCTCTTCACAATATTTCAACCCCACCCCCTTGAACTGCTTTCTTTTTCTTTACAAATCTTGACTGCAAAACAGTTCCACCTTCAGCTGCATGAAGTCTTAACCTCAGTTACCTAAATGCTAATGAGCGCAGCACATCCAGGCCATAAAGAATTAAAAGCCAAAGTACCCCAGTTTTACAAGGCTATTTCAGCATTGGGTAAAGAAGGCACGGTCAGTCAAGTCACCTCATTACTTCTTGGATTGCAAGCAGATGCTGGAATATCAGCTGAGCCTCCAAGTCAGGATCCAAGGGATCATTCCATTCCCGCAGAGTAACTCCATGCCGAGTTTTGTCACAACCAAGACCTTCAAAGCAACGAAGGGATCACTAATGTTGGAGAATTATCTTACTGACAGCCCTACAAAGTCCCAAGCCTGTTTACATGCAGGTAGTCCTTCACTTACAACCACAATAGGGGCCAGAAAACTCATTAAGTGAGGTGGTTATTAAGTGAGGCGTCACGTGACCACACCAGATTTTCCAACTCTTTTTTTACTGCAGTCGTTCTATGAATTTCCATAGTCATTAAGCGAGACATCATAGAATGTGATTTATGACCTTCTCTGCTGGCTTTCCCATTGACTTTGCTGGTGGGAAGCAAATGGCTGGGAAGGTTGCAAATGAGGATCACGTGACCATGGGACGCTGCAACTGTTGTAAATGTGTGACGGTTGTCCAGCATTTGAATCTCAATCACAGGAACTCTGTGATGGTTGCAAGCATAAGGGCCGGTCACAAGCCACATTTTTCAGCACCGTTGTAACTTTGAACAGCCACTAAATGAACCGTTGTTAAGTGAGGACTACCTGTAATATATTCCCAACNTAGGGCGCGGCGGAAGGAGGGGAGATCCGGGATCACCCGGATCTCTGGGGGTAGTTCGTTCCAGAGGGTGGGGGCTCCCACCGAGAAGGCCCTCCCCCTGGAGGTCGCCAGCCGGCACTGTCTGGCTGACGGCACCCTGAGGAGACCCACTCTGTGGGAGCGTACCGGCCGATGGGAGGTAATCTGCGGCAGAAGGCGGGAGGTAATCTGCGGCAGAAGGTAATCTGCGGCAGAAGGCGGTTGTTGTTGTTATACTATTACTATTATTATCTGCAATCTTACTAAGAAAATTTCTCCAGGCAAAGTATTCTCCTCAAAAGGAATACTGTAAAGTAAGGGAAGGCATGCTTTGGGAAGGATGTTGAAGTGACAGATTGTATTTATCACTGGGTACCTAGTTTCCCCTCACATGGCAGCTGTTTTTGTGAATAGCTCAGCAGACATCTTGCAAAAATGTCAAAAATTTATTTTCAGAATTCAAAAAAAATCAGCCCCAAAGGTTGGTGACTCCTGAGCATTTACATATGCAGTAACCAGTGACCTTCACAACACACTGCAATGGTAAAATGACCACATGCACAAGGTGACATCATCACAATGCTGCCTTTATTATTTGTGTCCCAGAGTATGATGTAAGTCAGTTGCCATGTTTGTGTGATGCGATCACATAGATTTTGTCATTTGCAATCCCACCCCTCCTATGGACATCCATACAAATACTTGGTAAATTTATTATAGTTGGTCTTCAAGGGTTATGTTTGGTGGATTTGCCTATAGACATAGATTTTGTATGGACAAGTATAATGAAATATGGAACTATTGATTATTCACTTAATTAGAGAGGCTGTTGTATTGTATCTCTGCACTAAGTTGGAAGTCACCTTTATAATATAATTTGTTTGATGTACATTTTTTACCATTTTTCACATGTTCTGTTATTTTCCTCCTCTTTCCCCTTTATTTTAGCTTGTATTTTAATGTTTGGGTTTGAAACGTAATATAAATATCTGTTAAAAAAAGAAAATAATAGATGAGTTCTCAGGTTATTCCTTGCTTCTGTTCTTGTCTCTCTGAGCTATGGAGACAAAGCGTTCATGTTTTTATCACCATGTTTTTAATCTCAAAATTTCCTCTGCAATTTACATGCTAATCTGATGTTCTTCAAAGGGAGCAGTTAAAAAATGTCAGACATTGATGGAGCCCATTTTTTTTTAAAAAAAAGCTTTATTGTACATTCAATATTTTGAGGGGCTTGAAGGGACAGAGGATCAAGGATAAAAAAATTGTGAAGCAATTCTTCTTTCCTCTTACCTATATTAAGACCAACATCTTAATTTGTCTTACTGTCTAGCTGCCAAAAAAGAATAAGACAGAGACATTGTTCTCTCTCTCTCTTTTTTACCTGGGTCAGATGCTGCAGCTGTGGTTTTTATATAACATTTGAGCACTTTGCTGCAGTTTTATGGTATTCCCAAAAGTTCAAATGTCCACCTCACTCACCCTGTTCTAATTCAGTGCAGCTTTTCTATGCATCAGAGCTCAGAATCTGGAAAATGTTGCTTCTTAAAGAAATCAATTGCTAACGAAAAAGTTCTGTGTAAAATGGGAAATGTTACTTCACAAGATTCAGACCACTAATGCAACATTCTGTGTTTTTAGAGCTACATAAGGAAAAGTCAGAAGGAAAAAAGATGGAAGAATGAAAGGCACAGAAACTCCACCCTATCACCCCCCCAACAGAGTAACTGCATTGTTGCATATTATCAAAAGCATCATGAGATAGAGAAACCCAGTCTTTTTTTAAAAAAAAAAAGAATTGTCCAATTCTGGTGGATGAACAGGAATAAAAGAGCCAGTCTCAATGATCCACAGAAACTAGAGGCCAAACAAACTGAATTACAGGAGAGGTCCCAAAAGAGAGGTTAGGACCTTCCGAGCACAGGGACAGTCCCTCCCATTCCATCTCAGCAGACAAAATTGAGTCCAGAGTGTGTAGTTGTCATTCTGGGGATGTAGCAACCATTCTGCTTGAACAGGGCAAAGATGGAGCTTGCCCCCCAAATGATTTTTTTTGTGGAAGTCACGTCTGCAGTTCCACCAAGTGATTCTGATTCTGCTGGGCCATGTCAGTTGACCGGGAAACCTCCTTTTGATACATTTCTTCTAAATTGTGTAGTATCTGGAAAAGCCTGATGGGGCTGTCAGCATTTTCAGGATCTGTAGCAAGAGAGATGGAGAAGAAGAGAGGGCAGAATGAGCTAGAAAGAGATATCCAAACCCGCTAATCATTTGATATTCCTAAAAGAGGACAGCTTTGATCTGTAGAACAACCTTTTTCCTACCAAGGACTACGTTTTCTTAGACTTAATCTTCAGGAGCTGCCTTGCAGGTGAGGCTGAAGGAAGCAATGGAGTACGGGAGTCAGAAATAATAATAATAATAATAATAATAATAATAATAATAATAATAATAATAATAATAATAATAATAATAATAATAATAATAATAATAATAATAATAATAATAATAATAATAATAATAATAATAATAATAATAATAAAAAGTTGGAAGGGATCTTGGAGGTCATCTATTCTAGTCCAACCCCCTGCGCAGGCAGGAAACCCTATACCATTTCAGACAAATGGCTGTCCAGTCTCTTCTTAAAAACTTCCAGTGTTGGAGCATTCACCGCTTCTGGAGGCAGGTTGTTCCACTGGTTAATTGTTCTGTCAGGAAGTTTCTCCTTAGTTCTAGGTTGCTTCTCTCCTTGATCAGTTTCCATCCGTTGCTTCTTGTCCTGCCTTCAGACGCCTTGGGGAATAGCTTGACTCCCTCTTCTTTGTGGCAGCCCCTGAGATATTGGAACACTGCTATCATGTCCCCCCTCGTCCTTGTCTGTTCACCTCTGGTTAAAGGTATTGTGTGGACACAGCACATTATGAACAAATGCAACCTCAACCTCGCTCTCCATTTCAACCATCTATTACTATTACTACTACTACTACTACTACTACTACTACTACTACTACTACTACTATTATTATTAGGGTTTGTTGCACAATCAGCCAGATTTTTGGACTGGATTTGGCATTTTTTATCTACCTATCTTCTTATTATTTAAATGTATTACCTCCCAACTCCAATGGACTCTGGGCATCAATCTAATTAAATTAAACTAAAATAAATTAAATTAATTAAAAATGTGTACCTTCTGTCTGGCGTTTTTCACTTTTTTCCAGCACTGACAATTCCATATACTTTTCCCTTTGGATGGTAAAAATAGAATAAGGTGAAAGTTAATAAGTTGTTCAGCAAACTTCACCAATGGATGCACTTGTGAATAGCAAGAAAAGAGACATTACACAATAATCCCCTCGAAACCTCAATGGTTTTTCAGGTTCCAGAGAGTACACTGTCAAACTGGAAAAAGCAATGTATCTCAAACTTGGCAACTTTAAGAGGGGTGGCCTTCAATTCCCAGAATTCCCTAGCTAGCCATGCTGGCTAGGGAATTCTGGAAGTTAAGGTCCACCCCTCTTAAAGTTGCCAAGATTGAAAAATGCTGCTTTAAGCTTTTAGTTTTTATCATCTTTAAATGTTTCTATCAGTTGGTTTTACTGAAGCCTTTATAACTGCTCTCTCCGAAAAACAGGCAACATGTTATTTGCCTAGTCATCAATGTAGTCATACATAGCATCTCTTCACAATATTTCAACCCCACCCCCTTGAACTGCTTTCTTTTTCTTTACAAATCTTGACTGCAAAACAGTTCCACCTTCAGCTGCATGAAGTCTTAACCTCAGTTACCTAAATGCTAATGAGCGCAGTACATCCAGGCCATAAAGAATTAAAAGCCAAAGTACCCCAGTTTTACAAGGCTATTTCAGCATTGGGTAAAGAAGGCACGGTCAGTCAAGTCACCTCATTACTTCTTGGATTGCAAGCAGATGCTGGAATATCAGCTGAGCCTCCAAGTCAGGATCCAAGGGATCGTTCCATTCCCGCAGAGTAACTCCATGCCGAGTTTTGTCACAACCAAGACCTTCAAAGCAACGAAGGGATCACTAATGTTGGAGAATTATCTTACTGACAGCCCTACAAAGTCCCAAGCCTGTTTACATGCAGGTAGTCCTTCACTTACAACCACAATAGGGGCCAGAAAACTCATTAAGTGAGGTGGTTATTAAGTGAGGCGTCACGTGACCACACCAGATTTTCCAACTCTTTTTTTACTGCAGTCGTTCTATGAATTTCCATAGTCATTAAGCGAGACATCATAGAATGTGATTTATGACCTTCTCTGCTGGCTTTCCCATTGACTTTGCTGGTGGGAAGCAAATGGCTGGGAAGGTCGCAAATGACGATCACGTGACCATGGGACGCTGCAACTGTTGTAAATGTGTGACGGTTGTCCAGCATTTGAATCTCAATCACAGGAACTCTGTGATGGTTGCAAGCATAAGGGCCGGTCACAAGCCACATTTTTCAGCACCGTTGTAACTTTGAACAGCCACTAAATGAACCGTTGTTAAGTGAGGACTACCTGTAATATATTCCCAACATATCCACTGAGATGGAAAAGCGTATGTCAGGTCCCCAAATCCTTATTGTCTTCCTTGCACATACAGTCTTGTGCTCTTGTTTTGGGGCCTGCCATTCTACTGCTTTTGCTTTCTATTGCTTTCTATTCTATTGCTTTCGCTGGGGATAACTTTCGCTTTCTGTTTTTCTTCTCCCACCTCTATCCACTTGAGAAAGAAATGTGTCTCCCTTATCAGGGAGACGGTTACAGAGAAACAAAACTGGAGAAGACCTTGAGATGCACGCCAACTGTGCCAGTTACCCGCACATGGTGCCACCTGTGGATTGGCTGGATTTCAAATGGACACTATGACTTTGGTGGGAGGAGAAAGATTGCTAGCTTAATTATACCGTTTAAGCAGGATTTTCCCCAGATCTCGCCTTGACTTCCCTACTGTCACTAACCCCTAATAAAAGTTTCCTTTTGAGACAATGCCTGATTCAAGAGTTCTGCTTTCTTGGGTGGTTAGCTGAGGTGGGTCCTTACACATGCCTAATAGGGCTTCTGGGATACCAGCTCCATTCTGGGTCAAAGGGCTTTACAATGGAGCAACTGCGAGCATGCAAGGCTCTTACCCCAATGCCTCCCCTACAGGGATGCAGCAGGAAATATTTTTCAGGAATATTTTTTCTATAGTCCCTGACTGGATCTGCCCTATTTTGAAAAGTCTTTCTTTCACTGGCTTCTCCTGCTCTGGTCAGGTTATGGTGAGCAATCACACCGACGGATGGTTTGAACAGACTACATAATGCTTTTCCAACATTCCACCAGGTAGAAAAGTATCAACATCAAGCACCAAAATAAGAGCAACCTGGATTATATGTTATAAGACAGTGATGGCGAACCTTTTAGAGACCGAGTGCCCAAACTGCAACCCAAAACCCACTTATTTATCACCGGGTGCCAAGTAGGCGTGGACCACTGGATGGGCGTGGCTGTGGTGGTCATGGCAGATTGGGTGGGTGTGGCCAAGGTGGGCGTGATTACCTCAATGTTGCTCGTGGGGAGGGACGCCTGTGGGGGCCGGGCAGGGTTGGGGGAGATCCAGGGGGTCTCTGACAGGTGGGGCGGTGGGCAGGAGGCTTGTCCTGCGGGGTGAGGTGAGGCAAGGCAAGGCAGGGCAGGGGAGCCATTGTCACAGGGCAAGGTGAGGCAGGGGCCGGGGCGGCTGCTGCCTGACACCATCGACCCCTGCATACAGAGGCCAGCGAGCATATGGGTGCTGGGATGCATCCAGCCATGTGGGACCTTGGCGAGTTAGTGGGTGGCTGGTTGAAGAGGGACAGTTGCCATCTCCGGGGGCATGGCGAGCGTGCCCACAGAGAGGGCTCTGAGTGCCACCTTTTGTATGTATGCCATAGGTTCGCCACCACTGTTATAAGACTACTTCAATATGATCAGATTTTGAAATAACTTTTTATTTTTATTTTTACGACCCTGTAATCCTTTGCTTCGGGGTGGGAATCAGGGTAACTGAAGGGAACTGAGCGTTTACTGGCCGGATGCCTTTCCTGATGCCTATTGCTGAGTTCACAGCAGATATTTTTTTTCTTTGCGCTCTGATAGAGAAACATCTGCTGCTACCTAGGATTGAACTCTCAACCTTCCAAGTCGGAGACGAGAGTTTTCACCTCTAGGCCACCTGCCGCTCCAGATTTTGAAGTAACTGATTCTGCATATTTACTTAATAGATGTGTGTGTGTGTGTGTGTGTGTGTGTGTGTGTGAGTGAGTGTACCGCAATCCTCGACTCACAAGCATTATTGAGCCTGGAATTATTGTTGTAAGTTGTGGCACTCATTAACCGGGTCACCATGTGATCATGCCTGATTTTGCAACCTTAAGCAAATGCCCTGTTATTAAGCGAATGCCGCAGTTGTGAAGCGTGACCATGGTTGATAAGTGAAACTGCAGTCTTTAAACAAACCCATTTTCTTCAATGGGAATTTTTCACTGGAAACGAGATGTAAATGCTGGAAGTTGGCAAAAAATGCTGAAAAGTACAGTTATATGACTTCGGGATCCTGCAAACAGCCATAAACACAAGCTGGTTGCCAATTGTCCAAAATGCAATCACATGACCATGTGTGTGTGTGGGGGGGGGGCAGGAATTCTGGAACCGGGTTGTAAGTAGCTCTGGAAAGGGCCACGGTAAGTTTGAGTGGTTGGCAAGCGAGCGATCATTACACAAGGAGTAGCTGTACATTTTTCTTTTCTATACTTTGGGTAGTTTTTCTTTTTTTAAAAGCACTCTATATCTTGATATATATTGAAATAAACTTAAGGAGAAAACATTGTGATACACATACCCACGCCCAGAGATATGGGAAATATCAAGGGCAATACAGTAGCGTAGCCAAAGGATGCAATACCTGCTTTGTCCTTTTGGTGGCAGCAGCTCCATTTTTCTCCTCTGAAAACCCCTGGATGATAGGAGCATAGCATTCCCGCGTTGTTCCCGCAGACTTTCCGTAAGGCTGAGAGCCACTGGCTCAGCTCATTCACACACTGTAAACCAAGGCAAGGCAGAAAGACATTAATGCCGTGGATTCTTCTGACCAGATGTAGCCAGGGCCTTTAACATACAGTATTTCCCCCTTTTCTGCCCTACAATCAGGGAAACAGGCTCAGACTGTGGTTTTTCCCGTGCTGTACACTGCAAGTCAATAGAAAGCAGACTGGACATAAAAGTCAGGAAGCCAATGTTGATTTGTTTCAATTCCCTTAAAAGATCCATTTGACCTTCAGTCTTGTTCATTGTGACATCCGTACACGAGAGAATAGAAATGTAACAGGATGCTTGAACCATAGTTGATACTGAAACATGCATATTAAAATTAACCAATGATAAAATGCAAATATAGAATGGAATTACAACCTGATTCACACCTGATTCACCTGATTCATTTGTTTTCCAAATTTATTTGATACAATGGTTTCATGGTCTAATTAAATGTCAATGCCTAATATAGGTTATCTCAACTGGATTTAATTGACCCAGTGTTCAAAGAAGATTATAATTAGCTAGAGACAAATCCTTTCCTTTTTGAGGTGGATGGGGCTAAACTAATTTAATTGAATAAATTCCTTTCGTGGTATGTTAACTACTTACTGGAGGGCTACCTGGCCTTGTTATCAGTCATTACCGAGACAAAGACCTGGAGAGGAACTGCAAAAATGGAACTTCTCTTGGTATTCTGCCTCTGTGATCACTTCTTTTCATCTACTGCAGTCAAATCTTTCCATGGTGGTGTTCATCCTAACTGAAACACCATCAATGAGTCATCCTAGATTAGCTAAGCCGAACTGATGCTGGATCATTCTCATGATCCAAATGAGGCCTATGCCAGGGGTCTTCAAACTTGGCCCTTTTATGACTTGTGGACTTCAACTCCCAGAATTCCTCAGCCAGCGTGCCTGGCTGAGGAATTCTGGGAGTTAAAGTCCACAAGTCATAAAAGGGCCAAGTTTGAAGACCCCTGGCCTATGCTGTTGTTAAACTCTCACAAAAAGCGTCTTTCAACTTAAATTCATCTCCTGGTGAAATCATTGATACATCCATACTTTTCTTGATAGCAGAATGAAATTAGTTTCCTGCTGTCTTCTTTGGGGACATTTTGACTACAGCCCTGAGATTTCCTAGTGGTTTCCCTTCCAGGTATTTACCAGACCTGCTTAGTTTCTAAACCCAAACCAAGAAGGCCGGGTGCTACACCTGCTGGGGCCAAGTATCAACGGGGTGCATGTTTGTTTCTCCTTAAAACATTTTGATTCCCTTGCATTTTATTTGAAAGCATCTCTCAGGTTTGCAGATGTGAGAAACTGCTGGATTCTTTGCATTTGTTTGTCTGATTTATATAACTGCTCGCCTCACAAAACAAGTGGCATGTCGCATCTACCAATACAACTTGTGTCGTGTGGTCACCCACACGAATCCTTGCTTCTCCCTCCCCATCCAAGCAAAATGTGACTTGTTGTGTCTCCACCTTGCACTGCAGGTAAGCTGTGTCTTCTTGCCCAGCATCGTTAGTGTAGACGATCTGCATGACATGGGAGATGCCAAAACTCTTCTCCTCTACCTTCTCAGCTGCCCGGATGCTAGTCAGTGGCACGAAGGAGCTTTTCTGAAAGGAAATCCCATAAATATATATATATATATATACAGAGAAGGAGAAGCCTTGAATCAAATGGAAACAAACTCTGTCTCGCATTCTGAATCCAACCAGATGCTTTTAGCAGCCTTTTCCTAGTAGTCACTAGTATTCTGGAGTAGACCGTCCCTAATCATGGAGATTCTATATATCATCACAACAGGTAATACCTAGAAGTAGAGCTTTCTTCCTCCATGAATTTGACAAATCCTCTTCTAAAGTTTCCCTCAAACAGAAAACACTTAAAAAGGTAGAGGTTTCCCCTATCCAATCACGTCTGACTCTAGGGGTAGTGTTCATCTTTATTTCTTAGCTGAGGGAGCCGGCGTTTTCCAGAGACAATTCTGTGGTCATGTGGTCAGTGTGACTATGTACCGAGGTGCACCGAATATCTTTAACCACTGAGCCACCACATCCCCCAAAACACATAAAGCTACTCCAAAATCATTGCCATCGAAAACATTAAGTGTGGCTGTTGGCCATCCAGAAATATTCTCCCCACTATAGAAGAAAATTGTACTATCACGCTGTCATATTCCATCGCTAACAATCAATTAAATTCTGAGCTTGCTTGAAAGTTATTCTTCTTCAGCACAATGTCCAAAATCACACCATGAATTCAAGCCTCCACACTCCTAGTCCAACGTTCTTATACTACATTGCTTCAAGGGCCTCAAAGATTTCATTGATTATGTGCCATCAAGTTGTTGTTGACTCCTAGTGACTACGTAGATAGATTATATCCACAATGATCTATCCCTAACCTGGTCTTTTTAAATCTCCCAATGGTTCCCCTCCATTGCCACTGCAACTGAATTCATCCACCTTGCAGCTCAGCATCCTCTTCTTCTCTTCCCTCCCATCTTTCCCAGCAATGGTACCTTTTCCAGAGAGATCAGTCTTCACATAATAGCAATACCAATAGCACTTAGACTTATATACCGCTTCATAGTGCTTTACAGCCATCTCTAAGTGGTTTACAAAGTCAGCATATGGCCCGCCACAAACTGGGTCCTCATTTTACCCACTTCAGAAGGATCAACCNAAGTCCATCAGGATCAAACTCCTGGCAGTAGGCAGAGTGAGCCTGCAATACTGTATTCTAACCACTGCGCCATCACAGCTGTAACGTGTCCAAAGTAGAACTGGAAGTTTTGAAGAAGAGACTGGACAGCCATTTGTCCGAAATGGTGTAGGGTTTCCTGCCTGAGCAGGGGGTTGGACTCAATGACCTCCAAGGTCCCTTCCAACTTTATTATTATTATTATTAATTTGAGCCTGGCCATTTGGTTGCTACTTCAGGGGAGAGACCTAGCTTCTGTGATGATTGGCTAGCCTTCATGGGCACTCCTTCCTTGGACTCCCCAACTTATAGAGGGTTTCAAGAGAAGTGATTTCAGCAAGGAACATGGCCAGAGCCTCAGGTGGTGGCCAGTCTCTATCCTTTACCTACCTTGGAGTTGGGTGTCTTGGCGCAGGTAAGAGCCTCATGCGTTAATGAGAAATGGAACTTCTTGAAGGAGAACGAGAGGAGAGGCCCCTTGCTTCTTGCCTTGTGGATGAAGAGGTACCCCTCTTTTACAACCTGAGGTTGCAGGGAAATGGGCTTCTGCAGGTCTAATTCTGTAATTCAACATTCACGGCAGTCAACGCAAAATATGTGCATGTGTTTTGAATGAGCGTGAAATAACAACAACAATAATAGTAATAATACAAGTTGCCAGAAAATCATGAGATATAATCTGCTGCCCTCATTGCTAACCCCAGTCCTGCTTATATAGTCTCTCTTCTGGCTTGTTGTTAACTGGGGAAGTCCCTGCAGAGTGTCTTACTCAAAGCCACTAGTGAAGCCATCTAGCTTTGCTGCCCTCCCCTCTTTGGATGACACCAAGGGTGGGAAACCAGGGTTGTTCTGGATTGTATAACTCTATGTAACCCTAACCAGAGAGCATGTATCTGTATGTTAGAATATCTGGCATTTATTGGGTTAAGTGCTGTCTCCTTAAGAGATGGCTTATGGGAAATGTAGTTTTAGCTAATTAGCTATCCCATATCAATGGGTCAGTGGGAGGAGTTCTAAAGGGCATTGGGAGACTTCCTGGACACAAGCCAGACGGGAATGCCTTTGTCTGAGAGAAGCATGGGCCATCGGATGTCACCAGATGACCATGCTTTAACGCTATAAAGATGCTATGGAGAAAGAGCATCATTCTTTCACCTATAGGAATGAACAAAGATGTATTTTCCAGAAGTAACAACCACAGCATAAATGCAAGCAATCTCTCTGATTAAATGTTTTTGTTATGAAATTATTCCTATTGAGTTTATCTATCTGATCTGATTTATAAGGCGTTTTAACTCAGGATCAGTATAAGGGTCATCCACAAGAGTTTGCTATTTTGGTCATCAGCTTTGCCTTTGTCCTTGGGAGGCAAGCCCTGCACCTTTTATATATGCATGTGATGTCACAACATACATACAAAAGGACTGTGGATCACTTTTTTCTGAGACTGTCATAACTTTGAACTGCCATTAAACAAATGGTCATAAGTTGAGGACTGCCATACTAAGAAAGAAATGGGATAAGGCACTAAATTTCAGATACCAGTAAACCACCATCCGGCTGATGGCTCAGAGAAAGCGCTCTGCCGCTTGTAGTAACCAGAACATTTCTTAATTTGTTTGACTTTATCAAGCATTTACCCTCTTTCTCCTCCGTGTCAATTAACTGCAGGATGAACTGCTTCATCTGGGCAACACCGCGTTGAATGGTGGCTTGCAGAGGGGCCATCCATGCTTCCTTGGTGCGGCTGATGCTTGTGTCCATGTTCCCCACGTTTTGGACAGCCTGGCCCAGCAGAAAATCGGAACAAGTCACCACAACTCAAGAACAAACTTCACCCAGATTGAGAAAAAAAACCAGCATGGTTTGCAGCGGAGAGAATGTTGGGATTAAGGGGAATGAGATTTAAAAAGCCACTTTGCACTATCCAATCAGGAGTCGTGCTTGGGGGAAGGGGAGGGGAAGGAGGGCAGGGCAGGGCAGGGCAGAGGAGGGGAGGTGAGGGGGAAGGGGAAGGGGAAGGGAGGGGGAAGGGGAAGGCAAGCAAGTTGAGATGAAAGAAGACATTAGAAAAGAGAGCAAGAGTCAAAAAAGGACCCCCTTTGGACATCATTGGGCCATTAAGAGCATTTCTTCTGGGACCAGGTCTTACCTTGGCCAGCAGAAGCAGAGCCCGGCTGGTGTGAGCATCGGCGTGCTTCTCCCGTAAGTGGAAGAGTTTGGGAGACATAATGGCTGGAGAGAAGAATCGTAGGCAGAGGAAGCTGGTGATGGCAATGAACTTCACATTCTGCAGGTGCCGAAGGATACAGTTTTTGAAAAGGGATGGGAACAGACCAAGGACAAAAACAATCTGACAGGCAATACCAAACCTCTCAGTTTGTCGTCTTGGAGAAAAGGAGAATGGTAGGAATAAGATAACAAAACTAGAAATGAAACTAGCCCTTCCTTAGCATAGTGCAGTGTTTCTCAACCTTGACAATTTTAAGGCATGTGGACTTCAACTCCCAGAATTCCACAGCCAGCAATGCTGGCTGTGGAATTCTGGGAGTTGAAGTCCACATGCCTTAAAATTGTCAAGGTTGAGAAACACTGGCATAGTGGTTAAAAACACATTCAAATCCCTGCTGGAGGGGACTGTAAGATCCTGCGGCTTTTCTTCCCACAAGATCTAACAAGTTGCCTTACCTGACAAAGAAGCAGAAGACTTACAAAAGAATTTGTAACTGCAAAGAATTTACAACATTATAATCCCACATTCCTGGGAGGGGACCGAGGTTAAGTTAGAAGAATGCTGCCCAACTGACCTGATTCTTCTCCTCGGGGAACCGTTCTCCAACTCTCTTGAAAAGTAGCTGAAAAGTGGCACGGATGACAGGAGGACACATCTTGGCAGACCTGGTGATGGTGTTCAGTAGGTCAGTCAGATAGGACTGAAGGAGCTGGCCGCTCTGCTGGATCACCTCACTTTCACTGTGGATCCGGTGAAGGCTAGAGCATCTGAAGCAAGAAACAAAAATAATGAAATAACTCAGAACTCCCTGCGTGCCATTCAGAGCCATGTTGGATTACCCAAAATGCAGTATCCAATCAGATTGATGTCACGTTCAAAATGGCTGCTTCATGCTCCGAAAGCATGAATAGCCCGTCAGTCTGATGGCGAGTAGCAGGTGAATGATTGATTACATCTTCAATGGCGCAGTGGCTAGAATGTAATACTGCAGGCTAATTCTGCTGGCTGACGACTGCCAGCAGTTCGGCAGTTCGATTCTCACCGGCTCAAGGTTGACTCAGCCTTCCATCCTTCCCAGGTCAGTAAAATGAGGACCCAGATTGTTGGGGGCAATATTCTGACTCTGTAAACCGCTTAGAGAGGGCTCTAAAGCACTGTGAAGCGGTATATAAGTCTAAGTGCTTTTGCTATCATTAGAATCGGAGGAGGCTCTTTATCAGTTTTTCTTAACCTTAGCAATTTTAAGTTGAATGGACTTCAACTCCCATAATTCCCCAGCTAGCAGGCCATCTGGAAATCTGGGGGTTGAAACCCAGACCTTTTAAAGTTGCTAAAGTTGAGAAACAGTGCCTTAGCTGAAGCTCTAGTAGAACTGGTGCTGGTTCTTCAACCAGGCAGCCAGGCTTCATTTCCAAATATTTTCCTCCTGTAGCTACATATATTTAAGGAGAAAAACAATGCAGAGAAATGGCTAATTAATATTGACTTATTGGAAGAATAGGAAATGACTACTTAAAAAACAACGACACAATTCACCATATTTTTCAGAAAAGTAAACATGCTAATTAAATGTGGCAAAAAGCCTTTGCTGGTTCATGCTAGATAGATTGGTATTGTCTTACTTCTTCTCTGGATGCACTAAAAATGCGCATCTATCTATCTATCTATCTATCTATCTATCTATCTATCTATCTATCTATCTATCTATCTATCATTTATCTACCTCTATCATCTATCTACAGTCTCTCTCTCTCTCTCTCTCTCTCTCTCTCTCATCTATCTACCTCTCTCATCTATGTATAGTATCTATCTATAGTATCTATCTATAGTATCTATCCATCCATCCATCCATCCATCCAATGTGCATCTATCTATCTATCTATCTATCTATCTATCTATCTATCTATCTATCTATCTATCTATCTATCTATCTATCTATCTATCTATCAATCATTTACCTACCTCTATCATCTATCTACAATATCTCTCATCTATCTATCTATCTATCTATCTATCTATCTATCTATCTATCTATCATCTATCTATCTATCTATCTATCCATCTATCATCTCTATCATTTATCTACCTCTATCATCTATACAATATCTATCTATCTATCCATCCATCCATCCATCCATCCATCCATCCATCCATCCATCCATCCATCCATCCATCTATCTATCTATCTATCTATCATCTCTATCATTTATCTACCTCTATCATCTATACAATATCTATCTATCTATCTGTCCGTCCGTCCGTCCGTCCGTCCGTCCGTCCGTCCGTCCGTCTATCTATCTATCTATCTATCTATCTATCTATCTATCTATCTATCTATCTATCTATCTATCTATCTATCTATCTATCTATCTATCTATCTATCTATCTATCTATCTAATGAATCTTTCTCATTCATTCTATAGAGCCACTATAAATGCTGTGAAGGAACCAAGGCCATTCCATATTCAAAGTGTCAGCGAAATACTCAATGTAACTTGTCTACTAGCCAGAAAATTCAAATGTTCTAAAATTATGTTGCCTGATACATGTTTTAATCACAACACCTCAAGCAATAAGACAATGAGAATCACCTCTAGCAACCACTAGGATTCAAGATCTACTTTATTTCCTTGATAAGCAGGTCTGGTTTTTATTATGCATAATTATATAAATCCTCCGTACTTTGCATTTTTTATGCCTGAACAGCATCCAGGTAATGAATTTCAATATCTGACATTGATAGAACTTTCTTTCTGTCTTAGGCACTAACATGCTGGTAATCAAGATTTCTTGCCGCACTTGATTTTTTCTATAAAAAAACCCCCTATTATTCTAATTTAAAATATATTTAAAATTGAAACTGGCTTATTTCAAAGAAACACACCAACTTTATTTCCCAGAATGCATTTGCGAATCAAACCAGCCATTTTTGAAGAACTTGGGATGGAAAATAGCAATCTTGGAGAACAAGAGGCCCCAACCTCCACTCCAGTTTGCATTCTGGTAAATGGGAGGGTTGTGACTGATAATGCTCATAAGGCAGTGGTGGCGAACCAATGGCACGGGTGCCAGAGGCGGCACTCAGAGCCCTCTCTGTGGGCACATACACCGTTGCCCCAGTCCTAGGCCTTCAGCTGGGTTTTATAAAACCTTTTCGCTTTAGGCCTCCGCCGCCGTGTGCAAAAAAAAAAAAGGTTCAATCAATCAGTCAATTTCAACTTCTCGCGGGGAAAAAAAATCTTGCAAAGTTGGAATTGATTGATTGAACTTTTTAGTCCCACCCAGTCTGCCGTTACCACCGCAGCCACGCCCACCCAATGGGCCACCCCCCAATGGGCCACCCCCAGCCAATGGCCATACCCACCTGACACCCAATGATGCATAAGTGGGTTTTGGGTTGCAGTTTGGGCACTCGGTCTCTAAAAGGTTCGCCATCACTGTCATAAGGGCTGCCATTTTGTGAAAGCACCCACAACCCCTTCTCAAAGTTTTGTGCCCACTGGCTCAAAAACCCTTTGACTATAAGTCTCTCCTTCACAGAGAGGCCTCCCCACTGTTGCTCCTTCCTTCTTCCTACCCGATCTCTTTGCTTTCCACTTTGTTGGGATCTAGTTCGATGTATCTCTTCTCTTCAAACACTCGGTTGATTGATGGCCTAAGGATTCGATGGAGGTATTGCATACCTGCCACCTACAGAGTCAGAGATTAGGGAGAGATTAGATTAGCTTCATAATCAGGAACTGGCAGGAAGAGCCTCCCACCACCCATCATAGAAGGAAGACAGAACCCCCCAAAGGTACCTTCAGAAATGACTCCATAGACTTAGAAGCTAGAGAGTTGCTCCGAAACAACGTGTTGGGTTCAACTGAAACACAGAGAGTGGTTTATGATTGGTCACTGAACTATATACCCTTTCAACCACTTCATCTTGTTTTATGAAAAAAACCAGGATGACTTGCTATTACATTTTAACCCTTGAAAGAGTCAAGCCCTCTTTCATTGGCTGTCTTCTTTGATTCAGCTATATCTTTCTCTTAGATCAGGGGTAGGCAACCTTGGCTCTTTTATGACTCGTGGACTTCAACTCCCAGAATTCCTGAGCCAGCCATGCTGAGGGGAAAGGGAGAGGTTTCCAAGCTGAGACATGCTGGCTCAGGAATTCTGGGAGTTGAAGTCCACGAGTCATAAAAGAGCCAAGGTTGCCTACCCCTGGCTTAGATGATAGAATAGCAAAAATGATTGTCTGAAATGAATATGATATTCATCTTTGCCATCACTGGCTTTCAAAGACTTTTTTGCCAACTCGGAAGACTTCCCTCTTTTTCATATTGATCGCTCTCTTCCCTTTATATCTTATTTCAGATATTCTCTCCTCTTTGCATTCTCTTTTCTGTAGCTTTTGCTGCCCATCCTACCCACCCAGAAAGCTTCTAAATACCTTGACGATTCCAAATTGAATGCAAAGGAGTTAGACCACAACTAAAACGACCACAATACGTGTTGGGATTAAAAGACAAGATAGGACAGACAACTAATAAACTGAATTGGGCAGGTTTAGCACGCCCATTGGCTGTATTTACACAAAATGCTTTACATCCAGGTTGACAAAATGCATTACATAGCTCATATAATATGATGTACTAAAATGGGGAAAAAAAGATTTAACACAGTGTCCTGGTTTACATGCTACACATTAAGATATCACACTGAACCACAAACTACTTAACACTACTAGTTTAGCTATTGGTCTAGCCCAGGGGTAGGCAACCTTGGCTCTTTTATGACTCGTGGCCTTCAACTCCCAGAATTCCTGAGCCACCATGGCTCAGCTTGGAAACCTCTCCCTTTCCCCTCAGCATGGCTGGCTCAGGAATTCTGGGAGTTGAAGTCCATGAGTCATAAAAGAGCCAAGGTTGCCTACCCCTGGGCTAGCCTCTTCGAACCCACATCCCACCGTTCATGGTATTTAATTTATTACATGTATAGCCCATGAAAATCAGAACGAACTCTTGGCAATTTATGTGACAAAAGCAGTATTAAGATATCCATGGTTTCATTAACAAGAAGAAGAATTAAAACAAAATCAACATCCCCAATCACACAGACACACACACACACACACCAAGAAAATGGCAGGAACCTATCCAAGCAGTCACCAGGAGTTAACACTGACTCAAAGGCTCCCTCCCACCCATGCTCAAAATCATAGTATAAAGTGATGGGTAGGGTAAACCCCTTCCCTCCTGCCCTGGTCCTTACAGGTTCTGTCCAGCTCCAGTTTGACGAGGAGGTCCAAGAACTCTTTAATCAAGCCTTGGCCCAGGAAGAGCTTGACCAGGTTGACGGCAAGTTCCTGTCTGCATTCAGCTGTTGTGGTCTCATCAATCAGGGTTATTAAGTGCCCTTTCTCGTTCTGTAAGGAGAAGAGTGTGGGCAGAGGAAATACATTTCATGGAGAAGTTAATGCGCATTGATTCAGAAGGGGAGGGAGTATTTTTTCATAAAAACTTGATGTGTCACTTTGAACATAATCTTCTGCATTCTCTGTTTTATTGAGCACATTATATTACATACACAGTCTTTGTGCAGCTGCCTTCCATCCCAAGCCACCCAAGAGTCATAAATAGGAGCCAAAGATATTTTCCTGCTTAAGGCAAAAGATGAAACATTGATGAAGAGTCTCAGTCATCCACACAGAGTTATCCAGAAGTTGAATCGTGGCAGCTGGACTTCTTTTCGTTTTTGGTGTGAAATGTTTTGCAGCTTATCAAAGCAGCTTCTTCAGTCTGAGAATCTTTATCAACAAAGAAGCCACTCTGATAAGCAGCAAAATGTTTCAAATAGAAGAAAAGTATCCCAGTTGCCATGATTCAAACATAGCCCTTCGTTCCACGTAAAGAAATTACTCCATCAGCTCAATTTTGCTTTAATACAGTATTAGCAATAAGGGAGGATCCACCACCACTCCCGAGTGCAGTGAGCCAGCCAGCTGAGGAGGTTCAGAAAAGACTGTGTGGCCTGAAGAACTATATTCTTCAAGAGGGTGACTGGGAGGCTCAGATGGAACGGCTACAGAACTGTGCTTGTTGCCTCTTTCAACAGAATCACAACACCAGCACTTCACTCTGCCTAATGGTGGGGTTCTGTTGTGAACTAGGTTAGCATGAGAGAACTACCTGGTCTATGACCACCCGAGGATCATAAGAAATCTTTGGAATAAGAACTGGGGGCTCCCAACCACTCCTTCTCCAGGGACAAGAATGATACAGGTTCTTAATCAGTGGAAGGACTTGCCTCCAGAAGTTGTGGGTGCTCCAACACTGGAAGTTTTTAAGAAGAAATTGAACAAGTATTTGTTTGAAATGGTATAGAGTCTCCTGCTTGAGAAGAGGGTTGGATTAGGAGCCTCTAAAGTCCCTTCCAACACTGTTATTCTGTTTTTCTGTCTCACCTTTATCCCTGCTTTAACTTCCTGGCACAGCAGCTCCACAAGAGGCTGGTAGTAGATGGATGGCAGAACCATTTCATCCCGAAGCTGTACCTGGAGGTGTAAGGAACCTAGATTCCCTCTGAAACACAGGGAAAAATAAGGATATTAGATATACCTTATACGTTGGTTACCACCTAGAGGCATTTGGGGATGGTAGACATATTTCAGTTTTAAGGGTCTATTGTGGATGATCTCATGGAATATTTCTCATAAGCATCTCCACAATTATTCTCAAAAGGAGCAAAGTTGATCTCAGGCACTTCTCTTAGCCTTAGGGCAGTGATGGCGAACCTTTTAGAGACCGAATGCCCAAACTGCAACCCAAAACCCACTTATGCATCGTCGGGTGCCGGGTGAGTGTGGCCCATTGGCTGTGCGTGGCTGTGGTGGTAACAGCAGACTGGGTGGGACTAAAAAGTTCAATCAATCAATTCCAACTTTGCAAGATCTTTTTTTTCCCACGAGAAGTTGAAATTGACTGATTGATTTAACCATTTTTGTTTTGTACAAAGTGGCGTAGGCCTAAAGCGAAAAGGTTTTATAAAACCCAGGTGAAGGCCTAGGACTGGGGCGACAGCACACGTGCCCACAGAGAGGGCTCTGAGTGCCGCCTCTGGCACCCGTGCCATAGGTTCGCCACCACTGCCTTAGGGCAAAATTAACTAACCAGACAAAAAGAAATAACCCTAAATAAAAGTAGACAAGATGAATCAGCTCAAGACACTGTAAGGCAACTTCCAACATTTTTGAGGAAATCCCCCTAAACTTCCAAGATGCTCCTAATTTTCATTTCTCCATTGATAGCCTGGTGAGCACTAAGAATTAAGACTTACTCATCCAATCTTGCCTTGGATTTGTCTGGGCGGAGCAAAAACCATCCTTCTTCTCGCTGGACGGCCTTCAGCCTTTGGACATTGAATATCACCTGCAGATCAGAAAGAAATGTCCAAAGGAGTTGGTGGGCCTCCAAAAGATGTTAACCATCCAAGATCCAGTGATCAAGTAGCAAGTAGCAAGTAGGTGATGGGATAAGCCATTTCCCAATTGTTTCTTCCATGTTAATTCTTGGGATGGGAGGAAGCTCAGTGGTAGAGGAGATGCCATGGAGGCAAAAAGGTGCATCCTACTTTTCAAGGCAGGGCTAGTATAGAGTCCTAGCAAATTAACACTTTATTATCAATTGTCCCATTCACAAGATCCCTGAACGGACAGGGGAAAAGGCAGGAATCAGTCTCTATGAAAGATTCTCCCTGCTCCAAGTCACCGCCATCAAGTGCCCTTTAAGAGCCTCTGTAAAGTGTGATTTTTGATTTCTTTCAAAATAATGTTCACTGTTTTTCTACTCATATGGCTTGAATATTTTGAGATAATGTTTTTCAAACTTGACACCTTTAAGATGTGTGGACTTCAATTCCCAGAATTCCTCCAGCATCCAGCTGGCTGGAGAGTTCTGGGAATTGAAGTCCACAATAAAGTTGCCAAGTTTGAAAAACATTTGCTTTAGGAGGATTGGGAGGGTATAAATATTTGCAGTAATAACAATGACCCAGCAGATGGCAGCACATGGTCAACCTTATTTGGGCTAAGAACTTCAGCAAAAGTCAGGCCTGGTTAGGGCTTTGCTTGTTTGTGCAGACCAGTTGCTGGCATTCCACGGCCCGGTACCAGTCCACGGACCTGGGGTTGGGGACCCCTGTTGTAGGATGTCTGAAAAACCATCCTGGGAGACTGAATATCAAACCACTTCTTTAACTTTGCAAGAAAAAAATGTGAACCCGTGAAGCCAAATTGATTTTGTTGGAAGTTTTTTTCTTTTTTAAAGAAGTCATCATTGTTGTCATCAACATCATCACTATCTTGACCCAATACAAAGTGCATGCTTGTGTCCATATAAGCAAGTTGTTTGAGTTTATTATTTATGTTTATTGTTTCTTGCTTGTGTTTTATCCTCAAAGCAGCCCAAAATTATGTATGTGAGTTGGGTGGCTGCATAAATCAAGAAATAAATACATCTGTTTTGTCACTGATTTGCATCCAGTGCCTATTGCCCAAAACTGAAACACCCATCTCTCTCTCACAAACCCCCTTTTCTGGCAGACCCCCCCTCATTTTACAACATCACCAAGGTCCCTTCATAAAAGATGCAGGCAGGTGGCCCAGCCAAGTCACAGTGTCTCATCCTGAGGACCCTCTTTTTTTTTTTTAACAAAATTTTATTAAGTTTATATAGATGAGGAAAAATAGGAACAATACAGGTATGGTAAAGGGAAGGGAGGAAGGAAAGGGGATAAGGAATTAGGGTAAAATAAGGATAGGTACAATCACATATTTCAACAAACAAGCTACCGTCCGGATCATAATAATGAGTAAATATCATATTCAACCATTTTTACCAAAGCCTAGACTATAACATATTAAAAACAATTAGTAAACAAATACATTGATCTATTAAGTAAACACTACTAATAAAATCTCAAAAAATCCTAACAATCAAAAGTAACAAATGAAAATCATTAAATCAGTAAACCTCTTAATGAGTCAAATGGCCAGGGAGCCTCTTAAGAGCATGTGGGGAGGGCAGGGGAGGGGGTCTGGCCCCAGTTCACTCCCTACCATGCTTAACGATAAGAGTTGCTTGGAGCCAAGACGGGTGGCAAATAAATCTAATAAATAAACGGTAAAGATGACTCTGCAGTGATCTAGTAACAAAGGAAGGCAGTCTGCTTTGTGGTGCTGTGACTCATCATGAATTACGCAGNGCATCCAGTTTTGGTCACCGCGATGTAAAAAAGATGTTGAGACTTTAGAAAGAGTACAGAGAAGAGCAACAAAGATGATTAGGGGACTGGAGGCTAAAGCATATAAGGAACAGTTGCTGGAATTGGGTATGTCTAGTTTAATGAAGAGAAGGACGAGGGGGGACATGATAGCAGTGTTCCAATATCTCAGGGGCTGCCATAAAGAAGAGGGAGTCAAGCTATTTTCCAAAGCGCCTGGAGGCAGGACAAGAAGCAATGGGTGGAGACTAATCAAGGAGAGAAGCAATCTAGAACTAAGGAGAAACTTCCTGACAGTGAGAACAATTAACCAGTGGAACAACCTGCCTCCAGAAGCGGTGAATGCTCCAACACTGGAAGTTTTTAAGAAGAGACTGGACAGCCATTTGTCCGAAATGGTATAGGGTTTCCTGCCTGAGCAGGGGGTTGACTAGATGACCTTCAAGATCCCTTCCAACTTTACTATTATTATTATTATAATTGCGCTGGCTGGGGAAGATGGATGGAGGGTTCTGGTTAAATGAATCTTTGGAGGCTGACCACTAGGGAAGGTCACAGCCCTGATGCATGCAACACCTTTCCCTATTTCAGTCCACTCAACATTAGCACCTACAAGTACTCCTTAACATATGACCATTGGTTTCATGGGGTTTCAAAGTTATGATGACCCTTGGAACAAGTAACTATGGTCTTTACTTATGACCACCAGTCACATGATCGCAATTCGGTTGTTTGGCAGCTGCCTTGTATTCACAACAGGTTGCAACATCCCATGGTAACATGATTATGCAAAAAAAATTTCTTGCAGTTTTTTGGCAAAACCTGCCCGTTAGAAAAGTTGGATTGGCTTAACAATCACTGTAAAACACGTTGTGAAATTCAGTCCAACTCAACTTGTGATCACAACAACTTACGTACAATGGACATTTTAGTCCCATTTGTGATTGTAAGTCGAGGACTACTTATAGTAATGGAAGCTGTAGCAGAAACTTTCTTTTTTAATGATCCCGCTAGGTAGGCAAACAGAACCCTTGGCCAGTCACACACACAAACGCTTACTTTTGTGTCTCTATCTGTCTGTCTCTCTATCTGTCTGTCTGTGTTCTATCTATCTATCTATCTATCTATCTATCTATCTATCTATCTATCTATCTATCTGTCTATCTGTCTATCTGTCTATCTGTCTATCTGTCTATCTATCTATCTATCTATCTATCTCTGTCTATCTGTCTATCTATCTATCTATCTATCTATCTATCTATCTATCTATCTATCATTGATCCATCCATTCATCTATCTACCTATCTATTATCTATCTATCTATCTATCTATCTATCTATCTATCTATCTATCTGTCTGTCTGTCTGTCTGTCTGTCTGTCTGTTTATCTGTCTATTATCTATCTATCTATCTATCTATCTATCTATCTATCTATCTATCTATCTATCTATCTATCTATCTATCTATCTATCTATCTATCTATCTATCTATCTATCTATCATGTGTGTATTTATGGCTGGCCAAGGGTTCTGTATATTATAAATACTTTTTCTAGGGCAGCAAGCCAAATCTCTCCAGACTGGGAATTATGAGATTTGACACTTTATGTATTTCATTGAAGTGTTGAGTTTTTAAAAACCTTTTGCACTTTGTTTTTGCTGAATTTTTAATTTAAGCTGCCTTGGGTCTTTCCAACGGTCAGTTTTATACATCTAATAAAATAAATCTGTGGAAAAAATGATCATAAAATTGGGTGCGACTCACTTAACAACTGAGCAATAGAAATTCTGCTCCCAATTGTGGCCGTAAGTCAAGGACTGGCTGTAGTATGTTGGGCCTTAATAAATTGTAAGCCAAAGTTGGATAGAATCAACTTCAGTTTCAAAAACTGGCGTAGTCCCATCTTCTTCTTCTCCCCACAATCTCAACTCACCGAAGTCTCCTGAATTTTGCTGTTATAGCGGACTCTGACAAAAGGATCAGAAGCGCCATTCCGATCTTTCCGAGCTAAATCCCTTGAAGGAAAAGGATAGAGGAGAAGGAAGGTTACAGCTGCTGAAGGTGCCATTTGCATGAATATACGAAAAAATTAAGACACGTTCAAGTCCTGAAAAACTAAAGTCTGCCATATACTTCTGGCAAACCCTTGAATACGACCTGGAAATTGTGTCCAATTCTGGGACGCTGCCTGGACCAGGCCCTGCAGTTTTCATGTCAAGGTTTTTCAGAAGTGGTTTGCTATGGCCTCATTTCTAAGGCTGAGAGAAAGTTGACTTTGTGCCTAAGACAGGATTAGAACTCTCGGTCTCCTGGTTTCTAATCTGATGTTTTAACCACTACACCAAACTAGCTCTCTTAACCTTGCAGTACCCACGATCAAATTGGTGCATTTCCACCTGCAGATTCTTGTACACTGTCAAGAAGACATATCCACTCTTGAAGAATACAGGAAATCTAAGGGCAAGTCAGTCTTCTAGAGCAGTGGTCCCCAACCTTTGTGGCTTGGCACCCCGGCTAGGGGAGGGGGGAGAGAAGGGAACCGGGTTGCTTGAGTTGTGGGCCCGTGTGTACATGCAGCTTAGCTCACGCAAGCAGCAGGCCAGCATCCACGCGCGTGCACACACAGCTCAACTAGTTGAACTGCATGCGTGCTGGCCCGCCACTCACGTTGCCCGGTTCCTCTCTCTCCCCAAGCTGCGTGAGCTGCGAACACACACATGTGCACCAGCCCGCCACTTGCACGAGTTGAGCTGTGCATGCACATGTGCGCCACCCCACTGTTCACACAGCCCGGTTGCAAATAGGTCATGGCCCAATAGTGGACTACGGCCTGGGGTTTGAGGACCCCCGTTCTAGAGAATTCTTATACCAATAACTCCATGAAGATAGATAACAATCTGCCTCCTTTGGGAATCAATACTTTAGTCTTGCAAGCATTATTTATTTTGTTTTGTTTTGATAACTGTACAAAATGGCGTTGTCCTGACTTCCTTGTGATTTCCAGTATGTCCCTCTAGCTCTGAGCCCTTGAAAGATTGCAAATGTTCAGACACACTCTGTTTGGTTTTATCTTGCCCACCCCATCCAATTGCCCCTGGGTCTTTTAATTGCAAGAGGGTTGTTTTTTTCTGACTCTAATTACACAGGTCTATAAAACAGGAAGATCGCCTGGGAGCCCTGGAGAGCTGTATTACTTGGACAATAAACAAAGAGGAATTTTGAGAGTCGTGTGGTTCAGAAGAATGGAACACGAATGAACAATGGTAAAATCTTCAATAAAGGCACAAAACTTTCTGCTCCAGTGTGGTTCCTCCAGAACC